GTTCCTAGCATCGGAGTTGGTGATGTTAGGGCACTGCGGTGATTGTGTCTGAGAAGCAGATGACGTAGCCCTGGTGTGCCATGGGGCAGAAAGGGACTAGCTGTAAAATAATGACGAGCAGTAGATGTGAATGATAGACTGAGAATGTTCGCCTTGCTTACCTGTACTCAGAATCCTGCATCATGAACAAGCTGCCAGGCAGTTGTTAGAATTTGAGACCTTCTGGAATGGTGAAGAATGGGCTAGAGAAGTTCCCCTAGAGAAAAGATAATGGGCTCTTACGTCAGCCTCACCTCTCATTTAGGGGTACATCCAGGCCTAGAACATACGGGGTCAGGCACGGTACCAGGGCTGGCAGTGCTAGGGGCGTGATTTTGGGGCTGCCCTGTCCACCCTGGATGCGCAGCAGCGAGTCCAGCCAAGGCAGAATAAGACCAACGCACAGGATGTGGGCATCGGGGCTGCTCCAGGAGCTCAACTTGTCTTCTACTCTGTTTTTTTTTTTTCATTTTTACCTCACTGAGTCTGGACTTTGAACCACTAGGACAAATTCTCTCTCCGTTATAAGGAAGTTCATCAGTGCATCTAATTCTTGTACAGTTTTACTGTTTACATGTAGACCTCTGACCCATTTATGATTGTTTTTTTTAGCTTACATGTAAGGAATGGGTCAGATTGTAGACTTTCCACATTGTCATTATCATTTTAAGTCCGTTTTGAACTGCAATGACAAGCTTAGTGATAGCTTTGTTTCCTTTTTTTCTCTAATAGCCTGGTCTTTGAAGCAGCTCGAGCTTATTTCCTCAGTAATTACTTAATTGAAACCCTCTTATTGGCACTGAGTTCTCTGATTTGCTGTCCGAAACTGCCTTTATTTCTGCCCTTTATTTTTTTAAAAAGATTTACTTATTCGCAAATTAAATCTTATGCAAGCATACAAACAACTAGATTCATTTGCAACAAGAATATCTTTTCCCTACCATGTGTGAAACGTTACTGTTTGTCAGAAGAAACAGTCCAGGGGCATTGCAAGAAAACCCTCAGTAAATGCAAAAGCAAAGGCAGCTTATTTCTGTGTTCATCGGTGGCCAGTGTACAGCTGTGAGATTTTAGGACAGGGGCTTAGACCAGCAGTGGCTAGGGGTGTCGGCCCTCTACATTCCCTGTAGAACCCACACTGTGAACCTTCTGTGCCACCTGCCCCAGTCATCTAGAAATGCAGTGGCCAGAATCTGGACCTGTCAGCCACCACTGTGCAACTACTGCCCAAACTCCTAAATGAAGGATGATGAGATGTTTTCTCAGCAGACACATGTTCCTGTAACAGCAGTCATCCCTTGAGATTCATACAGCTTCTAACAAAAACCTCGAAGCCAGCCCAGTCTGCCGCCCTAACACTACCCAAGCCAACACTGGCACTGGCACCTGCTACTATTACCAAGATGGAGACTTGGGAAAACACGTGCAACAGGATGTAGTCCAGAGACTGTGTGGGCAGCCCCCTCTCCTCTGTGCAGCCCCTTTCCAAATATACCTTCACAAACGTTCCCATCAGCTGTCCTCGGACAGAAGATCCATGGAGAAACCGGAAAGCTTCTGTTTCAGGGTAGAAGACATGGCCAGATGTGGCCTGTGTGAACATGGCCACCCGTTATCTTACAGCTTTGGTCTCCTGAGCTAAGAACTCCCATTCTAGAGGCAGGAACCTGAAGCCCAAGCAATGTGGTTTGGGGAGCCAGAGCTGGGAGGCCAGGACCAAAACCTCCACTCCCAAACTGGGCCTGAGGCCCTTCTGCCAGCCTTTGCTTTCTTTTCTTTCTCTTTCATGTCTGCTATATGACACTCCAAGTTCTGCTGAGATTTCTTTTAGGGGTTGCTTTAGCATTGTGTACTAAACATGAAGCTTACTGTGAAGAATGTTCACAGTGGGACAGATCGCTGCTGTCGTGCAGGGGATCAACCTCGTCAGTGAGCAGCCACATGTTATGTGTCAGGCCAGGCTGCTGCGCCAAGGGCCAGAATGTTCACAGTGGGACAGATCGCTGCTGTCGTGCAGGGGATCAACCTCGTCAGTGAGCAGCCACATGTTATGTGTCAGGCCAGGCTGCTGCGCCAAGGGCCGCAGACCAGGAGGCACGCAGAAGCCACAGAAACTCGTTCTGGTAGCACTAGAGGCTGCGATTCCAGCTGCCACTGCAGGCCGTCTGTCAAGGCTGCAGACGCTGCCAATTCGTCGCTGTCTCCTGGGGACAGCAAGAGCACAAGCCTCCTTCACAAGAGTCCCACCCACAGGACATCATTCCCTTCTAGTGGCCCTGCCTCTGGTACTGTCCCGCTCAAGGTTAGGATTTCAACATGGGGTTCATGGGGGACCCAGCACTTAGTCCATAACATGTGATAATGGGTTGGTGTCGCTAGGTTGGACTTCATTTTCCAGAATTCCCTTTCTTCCCTATTTTCAATTAGGATATTTGACAGGCAGAAATGTTCGCTCACGTTCTGTCTCTCTGTTTCTCATACCCATGGCCACTGTATGCTGCTCCCCGTGTTGCACCCTCCAGCTCTGCTAAGCCCTGGACCTCCCTAGATTTGTCTAGCTCTGTGAGGAGGGACCCTGGCTTCTGCAACACCTCAGTGCCAGAGGCAGCAGAAACTGACACAGGCCTGCATCCTCAGGGGCTGCAGCTTCAGCTCGTGGTTCCAGCCAGCTGCTCTCCAGGTCACATCCATCCTCCTCTGCCTCGTGGACTTGGTGTGCAGTGCTGAGGTTGAGACGTCAACTCTGCCAAGACTAACCGGCTGCCACAGATACATAAATACACATATATAAACCGTATCAGCCCATACTTGTGTTTCATTGGCTGGTGATTGGGCCCCAGCTGACACACCCCTATTAATGCAGTTTTACTTTATGAGTGGCTTGGGCTGAGTTTCCGGTGGGAGCTCAACGCTCAGGCCATCGAGTCCCATCCCGTTTAAGTCTCCGTCTTGTGCAGTCACTTCCTGTGTCAGATCATCCAAGGTCAGTTAAACACATCGCCTCCTTAGAGATGAAGGAGCTTTTAACATCTGACAGCAGTCACACGTAAGCCACAGCAAGGGGACAGAAATCAGTCCAGTCTAGATGGAGACAGGAGGAGAGTGGAAGAACAAGAGCACAGGGAACAGCATGGCGGAAAGGAACCCTCTACAGAAGCTGGGATGTGCAGGACGGTGGAACCTGAGTGGGGTCCACAGGAACGAGAAGTCCCATGGGGTAATGGGAACAGCCTTGGCTTTGTAAGCTGCCCTGCAGTGTTCCATGGCTTGTGGAAGGTGCTGGGGTTTCTGCTCTCACCCTGGTATGTTCTCATCCATGCCACAGGCAGGGTTAGTGTTTGGAAATGTGCCCCCAGTCTTCCTGGCTGCCCAGGCACCTGTGACTCAGAGGATTACTCAGTATAAAGCCAAGCACTCAATGTGACATTTCAAGGCTTGTTGAGTTACCGCCTGCACGGCCCACCAGGACTCTGCCTCTCATTTCTCCTGCTGGAGCTGAGGTTGCGGAAGCCTGGAGTTCTGCTAGAAGCCGAAAGCATGGGGGAATTGAGGCCACCACCTGACAGGGGCTCCTCGTCCTCTCCCGTGGGCTTCACTGTAGTCTGCCCCCGAGTCCTGAAATGTGGAGAAGACACAGGCGGGCAGCAGGAGGAGAAGCCTTCTGGAAGGTGCCTCTGACCTGTGCACGCAACCTGGAGCCACAGAGGCGCTGCCCAGAGGTGATCACCTGAGCTGCAGAAAGTCGCCTCCACCGCACACTCACTGCCTGGCCCTTCTGTGTGTGGTGGTGGTTTTTCATTTTCAGCTTTTTTTTTCTTCCCTTTGTTTTACTAACAAATGAGAGATATGAAAGCAAGTTGCTGCTTGGACTTTTAAAAAAGAACATTTGGGCTGTCGCAGCAGCCTAGTCGCTAAAGCCCTTGCCTTGTGTACACCGGGATCCCATATGGGTGCCGCTTTGTGTCCCAGTAGCCTCATTGCACTTCCAGCTCCCTGCTAGTGGCCTGGAAAGCAGTCAAGAACGGCCCAAAGCCTTGGGACCCCGCACCTGCATGGGAGACTAGAGGAGGCTCCAGGCTCCTGGCTTCAGATTGGCTTAACTATAGCCACTGCGGCCACTTGGGGAGTCAACCGTCAGATGGAAGATTTTCCTCTCTCTATAGCTGACTTTCCAATTAAAAATAATTGGAATTAAAAACAATTAAAACAACTATTAAAAACAATTTCTGAAGGCACTGAGGCCCTGTGAGTGCCTTTTCAGATGAACACTTGCCAGCCTTTGCTGCTTTTCCCAGGTGCCATAACCGGAAGCTGGATTGAAAGTGGAACAGCCAGGACTCTCAAACAGACACCTATACAGAATGTTAGCACTATGGGCAATAGCTTAACCCACTCTGCCACAGTGCTGGTTCCTCTTAGGATCTTTTGAGTATATCCTCGCCTTCTTGTCCGTGCAGTGCCTGATTCTAGACACACCATTTCTTTCTAGATACAAGTATCAGTCACGTGCCCTTATAGCTATTTTCTTTACATTTAAAAAATATCTTGTGGGGAAAAAAACTATGAAACGTAAGATACAAGATACCATTCTATAAGGTAACACTGACATGGTTTTTTATTAAATGCTACTTTTATGTACAACAAAACCAGAATTTCTAGCTACACTAAAGTCATGAAAAGGAAAAGGGACTTTGGACAGGAGGAAATAGCAGAGGCAAGATAGTCATGTTAATAGCCGCCTTGGGGAAATGCAGTGTGGGCGAAGCTGTGCTGGATCAGCGACTGGGTACATACCGAGCTTGAGCATGGCTGCGTGGCAGGACAGATACTCCCTTTGGAATCTTGCTGCACTCCACCATGACTGCACCTGTATCGGCTCTGACTGGGACTCCTGCTGTGAGAGTGTGGCCCTCCCAGGGCCGCCTCCCTGAGCCAGCCCTCTCTCTGTCCTGTCTCCACAGCGCCAACCTATCCAAGGCCGCCTGGGGCGCTCTGGAGAAGAACGGCACGCAGCTGATGATCCGCTCCTACGAGCTCGGCGTTCTCTTCCTCCCCACCGCCTTTGTAAGTTCGTACTTCCTGCTGCCCTCTTTGCCCAAGTGTGAAACAGGCTGCACTGTTGCAGGCACCTGTCCAGAAGCAGAACTGAGGCCAACCCAGAGCCGAGCTCTTTGCCTCTGGCTACACTGACTGGCTCCTCCTGGATGTAGCCGGACCCCTGGCCTGAGAGCACTGGCCCACCTATGGCTGGTGGTGCTGCGCACAGGGCGTCATGGCAGTGCTTAAGTGGATCTGGTGAAGCGTGGTATGAAGCTTTCTCATGGCACAGGGGACTGAATGACACAGGTCACCAAAGGAGCAGCCTAGCCCAACCCAAGACACCTCAGTCTGAGGCAATGAGCAGATGCAGCTGGGAGGCCCAGAGCCTGGGCAGAGGCCCTGAGCGGAGTGTAGGATTTGGATACAAGGTGGTTCGGATGCTCATGTCATCTAGAGTTCAGAGAGTCACCAGGGACATGTGTGACCTATCCAGTGAGTCCCCTGCCAAGGCACCATGTTAGAAAATACTGCCTCTGTGATGTTAAGTGTAGCCTAATTATCTGCAGGTGTGTGACATCTCAGGAATTGGCTGAATGTGGGTGAGGACCCAGCTCCAAGATAACCCCTGCCGTTTCCTGGCACTCGCTTCAGATACACATGTACAGGTGGAACAGTTGGAACTGCCTGCACCGTGAGCTAGTTCCTATTTTTTCCCTTTATCCTATTCTGTGCTGTATTTAAATTTACAGTAAACACTCATTGCACATTTCTGTTGGACCAGAAGTTTTTTTTAAGCTTTATTTTTATTGGAAAGGCAGATATAAAGAGGAGAGATGACGAGAGAGAGAAAGATTTTACGTCCACTGATTCATTCTCCAACTGGCCTCAATGGCTAGAACTGAGTTGATCCAAAGCCAGGAACCAGGAATTTCTTCCAGGTCTCCCATACAGGTGTAGGGTCCTAAGGCTTTAGGCCATCCTTTCCCAGGCCACAGCAGAAAGCTGAATGGGAAGTGGAGCAGCCAGGACACAAACCAGCACTCATATGGGATCCTGGCACATGCAAGACGAGGACCTCAGCTACTAGGCTACTGCACCAGGTCCTGACCAGGAGCTTTTGCTTGGGGTACTGGGTATTTTTCATCAGACTTGAGACAGGAAGACACTTGCCACAGCGAGAGTCAGCCCTAAAGCTGCCCGCCTCAGGCTGCCCCCACAGCCCTCCTTCCATGCACAGGTCCAGCTGTATCCTGCCTTTCCTTCACCAGCATCTCTCCCCTTTTTTCCTCTCCATCTTCAAGGCTCTCACTGCAGAACCCTGGGTATGGCTCTTTGAACAACGCGCCCTAAGATTTCAGCACGTTTTGTTTCCTTCTACAGAGGAAAGCAAGCAGAACCCTGTGCCGCTGACAGTAGAGACTGCACTCCCACTGCGCTGTTAGCCTGTCCCATGGACAAGGGGAGACCTTGCACAGCCCAAGGGGTCTGACCCGCTGGCCTTTCCCCATGCCCCTGCTTTCTTGGGCTGCTGTGACTGCTGCTCTGGAAAGCAGTATCCTGACGTCATCCATGGTGGCTAAGAAGGTAGCAGAAGGGACACCCTGCTTTTCCAGGCCCTGTGTCCTCTGAGCCACTCGTTTTTCCTTCAGCTGCTTTGTGTGTGAGAAAAAGACTGGGAATGGTCGTTCAGAATGCTCAAACTGATTTTGTCTTAGGTTCTCGTTTCAGAACTCTGGAAAAGAAAAAGAGCCTCCCAGCAGTGCGTTCAAGTGAGATAGGGATTCCTGTATTCAGAAAGACCATCAGTCAGGAATATCAAAGATGGATTCTACCCCCGCCTGTGCTGTGCCAACAGGCAGGCCCCAACCCAGGTGCCCGTGCAACTAGCAGACTGCCTAGAAGGCAGCAGGCTCCCCAACAACCTGGCATCTCAGGGCTCAGCTCCTGCAAGCATTTAGGGTGTGGGGTTCTTTGCTAATCTAGCGAGGACCCACACACTGCTGCTGTTGTGTCACCAGCCCTACTGTCAGTCCAACTGGCTGTGAGGTGGGCAAGGTACTTGACGTGTGGCACTGCAGAACACAGCCGTGTTCTGACCTTGTCCTCCCAAGGAGTCTGAAGTCAAGCTGGGCCAGGTGTCCAAAGAGTCAGGTGGGCCGTGCATTTGCAGTGGACAGTGGGTGTGAGCCTGAGTGGGCAGAGCCCAGAAGCTGAAGCAGACTTCAGTGTTGTTCTGGTGTCAGTTCGACCGGACCCATGGACAGAGGCAGATTATTGAAAGGTTGCCAGGGGTATGTCATGGCTTCAGGAGTTGTTGAACAGGGGCGCCCTGGGAGGGCGGGGCCTGGCCAGGTCTGAAGGCCTCTGCACCAGCCTTTTCTCTGGGTGGCAGCTCAAGTGCTGGCCATTCTGCCTTGCTAGAAACTCCTCAAGCTAACTTCTGTCACCTGGCCTTCTGGTGCAACAGGAAAGCCTGTTAACAGACACAGGAGGCTGCTGAGAGGTGGCCAGCCCCAGGGATCCACCCACAAGTAACAGCAGGTGCGTATCTGTCAAGTCTGCAAAACTCTCACCATGGCTTTGGTGTGTTGATTTGGTCCGTGTTGTGTGGCCTGGCATGAAGCCACCGGACAAGAACTAGAGCTCCATGTGGACTTCCCAGAAGTGACACCAGTGGGTGTGACTTTAAGAGCAGCCCACCAGTCAGTGCTGGGAAGCACCTGTCATGTTGCTGAGGTGGTGCGAACCCCAGAATAGGCTAGGAGGCCGTGCACAGCAAGGCAGTGGATTCTGCCTCACACATGTCTTGGGTTCATAACTATTGTCCCACAGCCTGGGGGTGACCTCCTCGGTGTCCCTGCAGCTTCTCAAGTACCCCATGGATCCTGGCATGTTCTGGGAAGAGGGTGAAGGGTAGCATGGGCTCAGAGAGGTCCTGCTAAGTTGAGAAAGCTGAACCAGATTTTTACACGAGTTTTGGATGTTCAGATTACAAGGCTCCAAAAGGAGGGAGCACAGAACTGGCCAGGGCATTTGGGAAAGGTGAGGAGGTGAGATTCGCCTGGGTCTTGGCAAGCAAGTCTCAGGAGCTAGGCCCCCTGGCAGAGATGACGACGCACACTGTGTGTGGGGAAGAACCGTCACTGAGCCTGGAATGGGCTGGGCGGGGGGCCGGGCCGCAGGAGGCTGGGGCGTGCTTTGAAAGGGTCCTCCTCTTCTTCCCACAACCTTCTCATCTTGGGGCTGCTCTCACGTCCCGCTGTTGGAGTCGGTGATTCATGCATCTCCTCAAGAAGGAGGGAAAGTTCTCATACCCAGAGCTTGTAGGAAATGCCTACTGGTGGGTGTTGCTTCCTTTACCCTCCTAGACTAGGCCTGCACGGGCCTGGGCTGCTGGAGGAGGAGCCGTGTGCACAACAGTGGCTGAGGAGCTATGATTTTCCTCCTTGTATGGTGCTTACAGTAGGTGTCTAACTATGTCTGCAGGTCATGTTGTAACAACCTGTGCCTTGAACTAGCCTACCTGCCAGTGTCTTGCTGCAATGACATCTCCCTTCCCCTCCCCACCATGAGTCTATTGCAATACTTTTTTTTTTTTTAAGATTTATTTTTATTATTTTTTGATTGGAAAGGCGGATATACACAGAGGAGAGACAGAGAGGAAGATCTTCCGTCCGATGATTCACTCCCCAAGTGAGCGCAACGGGCCGATACCATGCCGATCCGAAGCCAGGAGCCTCTTCAGGGTCTCCCACGCGGGTGCAGGGTCCCAAAGCCCTGGGCCGTCCTCGACTGCCTTCCCGGGCCACAGGCAGGGAGCTGGAAAGGAAGCGGGGCTGCCGGGATTAGAACCGGCGCCCACATGGGATCCCGGGCGTGCTAGGCGAGGAACTTAACCACTTGCGCCACCGCGCCGGGCCCTATTGCAATACTTAAAAATGCCAGTTCTTGATAGCCGTGACTCAGTGTCTTAAAAACTTCTGTGTTAATCAGAATCACAGAGATGCTTACTGGCAAGAGCCCTGTCTGGCGGTCTGGTTTTTTTGTTTGTTTGTTTGTTTTTAGGTTTCCCTCTTAGGACCAGCTGCTCATGCCCTGGAATGTCCATACTTAGGAATTTGCAGGCCAGCTCGCTGTAGCATTTTGCTGGTGTCCCTCTGGTTGGGCATCACCCGGGATCGGGTTTCTCCAGATTAGCCCCATCTACACCTCCCGGGCAGAACTCCCTGTCCACACTGCTCACATTTCTGAGTTATCAGCACCCGGAGTTGCTGTTTTTGTCCTTCACCGTTAGGCCATGTCGATCGCTGTGTTCTGAGTGCTGACTGGAAGCCAGTGTTGCAAATGCTTGGGCAAGGCCTGGTGTCCATTACCTCCCAGGAACCCTGCGCGTCTCTGCTTTCTCATCGCCCTAAGTAGGTAGGACCTGGCACTCAGCCTCCAAGTGGCTCTGTGATGTGACGCTTCTGTACCTCCAAGCTATAGTGACCGGTGAGCCAGCATGGTTCGTTCATAGCAGAGATGGCATCTGTGGTTGATCTGCAAGTTAAAAGTCCCTGGTAATTACTGTTTCCATGTTTTAATTTTCTGTGTATTTTATTTGGATGGATCTATAAACCCTTTAAGATCAGCTTAAGGTCAGCCTGCCACATAGAGCTTTCCTTTTATAACTTTTTTTTTAATTTACATTTTATTTGAAAGCCAGAGAGCTCCCATCTGCTGGTTTATTGCCCAAATGCCCACAACAAGCAGGGCTGGGCCAAGCAGAAGCAAGGAGCTCGAGCTCTGTCCTGTCTCTCACGTGGGTGGCAGGAGCCCAGATCCTTGAGCCATCAACGGTTGCCTCTCAGAATTGTGCCTTAGCAGGAAATGGGATTGGAAATGGAGTAGCCTGGACTGCAACTAGACATTCCAGCATGAGATGAGGGTATCACAAGCATCAGGTTAACTCCAATGCCAAACACCCACCCCAGGAGCTTTCCCTTTGATTAGAGATACTTTCAAGAGCTTTGGAGGTTGATATCAAGATAGGTTTGACTTTGTGTACACTTAGTGATGTGTGGTGCTTGCTAGGTGTCTAATAAATCAGAAACATGATTTCGACGTCTAGTGATGTATCAGCTGTATCGTGTCCCCCAGTAGTCCTATTGCTGGGGGTGTGTTATCTCTGGAAAGTCCCACCTCAGGAGAGAGGGAATGATTTCACAGATCAGTAGCAGTGCCGCCCACCCTGAGGTCTCTGTGTGTGCAAATGTTTCTTGAAATCTTGTTCTTTGGGTGTTATTTCACACTGGAGGGTGCTGATCAGAGATACAACCGAAGAAGCAGCATCTCTAACGTTGGCGTGTGTCCCCTCCTCTCCGTGATGGAGCTAAGCTGCTACCGCAGAGCTGATCAAGGGCCAAGCCAGCAATTTCTCATGAGCACTGCACGCCTACCCTCTCACCTGGTGTTTGATAACCCTATTGTCGGAATTCTCTGGGAGGAGTAGGTGCCTGGCGGGTGCCTTCCTCTGTTGGGTAAATTGCCGAGTGATACCATGGTGATATATAAATAATGATAATTAGAAGACAGCCTCAAATTATTTGACATCCAGATTGAAGGGAAAAATAGTACTTTTTCTCATCCATAATTCCCTAGAATTTGGATCAGAAATGACATTCGGGGAAAAGGCGCTCTGGTTCCCATCAGACGTGAATGGCTCACAGAGTGACATGCTGGGCCAGAACCTGTAGTGTCAGACCTGGGTCTCCAGCACAAAGACCCTTTACCACTCATCATGATATGAACAGCAGGGGAAGAAAAACACAGAATTAAGCTAGAAGCTAGCAAAGTGGAAGTACTTGGGTTTGTTTTGTTTTGTTTTGTTTTTTGCATCAATCCTCATGAAAGTATTTAATAACAAAATTGAGATCAGTTCCAACCTCTAGCCTTTTCATTTTTAAAAATGTCCCAATGATAAGGTTTCTAGAATTTGGTTCATCCTATCTCTGCCTGCCTTGATACTCTTTAAATTCTCAAGCCATTCTCCCTTTATCATGGTTCATGGCATGACTTTGAGCCTGTTTGCTTAGTGGGAGGACCAACATTGGACCAGGAATCAGAAAGAGAGCTCTGGCCTTGACACCCTATTTCTTTCTTTCTTTTTTTTTTTTTTTTTTTTTTTTGGAGGATACAATCCAGGCCTCTCACTTGGGCCTTGAACCCAGGCAATCCAGTTCAGTTTGGGGTGTCTCATACTGCCATGTTAAGTGCTGTGCCATACATCTGCCTGCTTGCCACTTTTAATAACCACAGATTATTAAAAGTGACTGAACCTGTGGATTTGCCTCCTCTGCTAAGCAGAACTCTCTCAGTGCACTTGATTCTCCGAGTTTGCTTCCTGGGGTCCTTGCCATGGACCAGTGGTTATTCTAAATAACTTGTATGTCATCACGACAGCCTTAAGGTTAGGTGCTATGGTTATATTTAAAGGATGAGGAAACCAGGTCCAAGAAGGCTGCAGAAGCTCACCTGGAGTCACACAGTAAGAGGGTACAAAGGGCTTCCTCAGCTCCAGAATGCATCGGAGCTCAGGCATGAGGAAGGTCCCCAGTGGAGCGTGGGGAATAACCAGGCCATGTGGGTCCTTTCTGTCACCCAGCTCATAGCCTGCTAGAGGCCTCGGTGTCCCTGTGCCCTGCCTTCACCTGTCCCTGAGCTTTCTTTTCCTTCACATCTTGGTCTTTGTGGTCACTAACCACATTCTCATGCCAAGTTGCCCTCCCTGTGTGTCTTAACCTCCGTGATAACAGGTTGCGTCCTTGCTGGACCCGACACCACCCTCTGACCCCCTTCCCGTTCGTGGTGCAGCAGCTCTTGGTCTCTCGGCCCCCATCCATCCTGCAGCTCCTCACTGTTTAAGTGAGAGCCATGCTCCTTTCCAAAAGAGAGTGACAAGGCAAACATGGCGGTGAGCCCGGAGCTGCAAGCAGAACTGAGTCTGAGGTCTTATGCCACATGTTCAGGGTTTATTTTTTCTAAGGGACATAAAAACCGTAGCAAGATGAGGCCTTTTCAGCACCCCCAAGTCCCGATGGCTGGGGCACCAAGCCATGCCCCAGTGACACACCATGCCAGTCTGGCTCAAGCTTTGTTCTGCATGTCCCTGCCCAGCCTCTGCATCTTCACACTTGCTGTGCAAGTGTGCCAGCTCTGCCCACCCACAGGAAGTTGGTTCCTCCACTAATGTTCTCAATTATCTCTGTTGACTAGAATTCTATTACATTTGCAGAACCCCACTAAAAATGATTTTAAGATTTATTTGTATTGGAAGGCAGATTTACAGAGAGGAGAAAAAGATCTTCCATCTTCTGATTCACACCCCAAGTGGCCACAACGGCCAGGGTGGAGCTGATCCAAAGCAAGAAACCAGGAGTTTCTTTTGGATCTCCCATCACAGTTCCAAGGTTTGGGACCATCCTCTACTGCTTTCCCAGGCCATAAGTAGGGAGCTAGATGGGAAGTGGAGCAGCCGGGTCTCAAACCGCTGACCTTATGGGATTCTAAGGCTTTCAATGTGAGGATTTAAGCCACTGAGCCATCCTGCTCTATCACAGGAAATGTGCACCAGGCATCACCTGTGTTTCCCTGGACTACTCATCCCCATCTCAGGACTTCCTGAAGTCTTTGCCTGGGCTTCATTACATATGCCTCTTCTATGAAATAAGCAGGGGAGGTGCTGCCGTTTGTTCCCATGGCCCCTTCTTCCTGGAGCTCCTGCCACATGCCCAGAACCTGGCCTCGATTTGTGCTCAATACTGAAGTTAGAAAAGGACGTGTGGTAGGCCTCAGGCACTGCAGACAAGCACCCCACTGTCGGCCGGCCTTCAGCTGCTCTGGAGCATGCCAGGCTCTTTGCCACCTCTGAGTCTTCACAGGTTCTGTTCCCTCAGCCTGGAACACAGTTCTTTCTTCTCCTGCTTGACCAGCTCCACCCTCACCTATTTCAAGGATGTTTTCCTCCAGTGGTGCCTTCAGCGCAGTCTGAGCCCCCATCCTCTGACGGCACTCCTGGACCATTTTTTGCAGCACTCACCACCAGTTGTAATTGTCTCAGTGTTAATGATGTATTTGTTTACGATCTCCCCATCAGCCACATGTCCCCATGCATGATCGAGAAAAGACACAAAGCAAAATGTGTTGAGTGAATCAGAGCATGGGCTGTCTCCACCACTCAGTGGGTGACAGAGCAGATGCAGGACTTGGCCTGCCTGAGACCTTGGTCATGATGACTCCATTCATGGCACCCCGTGCTGTGCCCGTGACCACTCCCCATCCCCCATTTCCTGAGCCACAGTCATGGAGACCTAGGGCCTCTGTTCCCCTGCGTGTAGGCCCCCAGAACACCAGCTCTGTTGGAGTTGTAAGATTTTAGAATATGGAGGATGCATATGTGTTTGGATGGGTGGATGGGAGGAATCCCAGACAAAGGGCAGGCTGTCAGGATAGTCTGGGAGGGAGGTGGAAGTGACTGATGCAGGGAGGCATGGAGTGGGGGTGGAGCGTACTGATGTGCTAAACATTGCTGGAGAGAGAGCCTTAGCTTTTACCCTGATTGAGGTCTAAAATTAACACCTTGTTCTTGAGTTCTTGGGATAAGCTAGGCATCTTAATGGGTCTTTCATTTTCAGTTTTATATTCCCATCACGTTATATTGGAACAATTTCATTATCCATGAAAGCAACTTTTACTTCTTACTCCAGAGCAGGGAGCCCGTTTCTATAGCAATAGTGGAAGCAAGTAGAGGTATTTTTATGCAGTGAGCTCTACAAAGTCCCTGCAGACAATACGCAATACCTGGTAGAAATGAGCTGTGACACCCCAGATCATTGCTTTATATCCGTTATTAAACTTCCACAAACTTTGCCATAGTTGAATTCCAGAAATTTAAGCCTCACAAATTGTTAGGAAAGCAGGTAAGGGGCTTATAAGTGTATTTGCCCATGAACATGGACAGCATCTCTGAGTGGTCGGAATGGTATTGGGGACACCACGAAGGCCTTCGAGGATGCTGGTGGTTGTTTGTTGGGCGCTTGTTTTCTCAGAAAGTGGCTGCAGTCATAAATGTACTCTGTGTCAACAGGGCCTGGACAGCTTCAACGTGAAACGGAAATTCTTCTCCAGCCACCAGGAGCTGACAGCCCCCTTTCCTGTTCCGTATGATCTGCCCCCGGAACTGTATGGAAGTAAAGGTGAGACCAAGAGCGATCCTGGCTTGTGGAAACCTCTGGAAGCTCAGAGGTGCCTCTCCCTGTTTGGAGCCACACTTCCCAGGCTGGCTGGTCTTGGAACCTCTCTGCAATCCTCTGATATTGAGAAGCACAAAGAACTCTACCTAGGGCTCTGTTTATCCGTGCTTACTATATCCGAAGTTATAACTGAAATGCTCAAGTATTTATTGAATTATTAGTTCTAAAGTAACAACAATAAGCCCCTTTAACATGTTTTTATGACTGTATCCAAACTGAGAAGTTACGTAGCAAAGTGGTATTAACATTTTTGCAAACCTCTTCACTGCTTGCTTCCTTCCCCCACACCCACCGCCCTTCTCATTTCTCAGAGCTGCTCTCCCATTCAATCTAGTGATGTCCCATATTATGGAGCCTCTATGTGAAAATGAAAGCAAAAATGACAAATGATGGCTTAATAGTGAAAATCTTTGTGGCCATCCTCCCCCGCAAAGGGAGGGTGCCAGGCTACACTTGGAATCGTGTGGTGTTGGACCCTGGACCATCCCAGCACGTGCCCCTTTTTTCTCCTAGGCAGTGCTGGGGGACTAGTAGGGGGGGAATAGCAGCACTCCCACCCCTGTGGTCTTGGGTGCCTGTGCCTGGCCCCTTCCTTCTGGTAACCCGTTGCTTCGGCTGCGCTGACCTACCTGCCGAGGCTCCTCTGGTCTCCTGGGCCTGGGCCACACCCCCCTCTGGTAGGTGAGTTTGTAACTCTGGAATCATTTGTGTTCGTATGGATGCTCGGTTTCACATGGTATTCTTTTATTATCAGACATGATCTGTAGAGTCCTGTTCACGCACACTCCTGCTACACTAGGAAGGTGCCAAATCAGAACTTGAGGGCATCTGGGACCACCCCACCTAACCCGCAGACCTAGCTGCGGCAGTGCTCAGGGTTTGCACCTTACTCCATGGCACTGGATAGCTCATTTCTTTCTTTGCCTGTGATTGCTCTGTGCTTTACCTCGCAGCCCTCAGCCTTGTCACTGCCCAAGCCCAGAGCCTGACCTCGATTACAACTCTCTTCCTGCTCCTAATTTCCATAGAACTATAAAAACCAGAGTAGAAGAGGCTTAAAGATGTTCCAAGCAAAGCAGTTTAAGCCGTCAGTTGGAATGCCAACGTTGCTTATCCACATGTGCCTAGGTTCCAGTCCTGACTCTACTCCGTTCCAGCTTCCTGCTAAGGCGGAGCTGGGGAGGCAGCAGTGAGTGCTCCAGTGGTAAAGTCCCTGCCACCCGCATAGGAAACAAGGACTAAGATCCCAGAACCTGGCCTTGGCCTTGCTGAGGTCCTACCATTGTGGGCTTTGGGAAGGTGAGCCAGCAGGTGGGAACATACGTGTACATGCTGTGCCTGAGCCTCTCAAAATATGTTTGTTTGTTTGTTCACTTTTCAAAGTCCTGTCCCTTCCCAAGAAAAAGCGTAGGTTTACAACTGGATTATGTCTTGGACTGTGAAATAGTAACTCTTTTATTTGGGTAGCAAGTAGATTGCCTTCCAGTATTTGTCCAAGCAGTTTCTTAGAAACCTTCTGTGGAAAATCCTCTCTTCCTCACTGCCCCGGTAGTATAGAGAAAGAATATCAGTGATTCAGATGTCAGCACTCCTTTGGAGGCAGTAAGGCAGTCACCTCTCTCTCTCTCTCTCTCTCTCTCTCTCTCTCTCTCTCCCCCCCTGTTGTCATTTGGAGAGTGATCCAGCTGATGGACGATCTCTCTCTGTAATTCCGTCTTTCAAATAAAAATAAATAAATAGATAAAATCTTTTTAAAAATTTAAAAGAAGAGCTGGGCTAGAAGATTACTTTGCGTCTTCTGTTTCTACTATGAGATCCCCCTAACTTTTTCCGCAGTTGGGAGAATGGAGCACACATATCCTTCTGTCCCTCTGATGGGTCTTCCATGACCCAGTTCAAGTAAATGCTGTCTGTGTACTGTGCTTCCTCCCCCAGATCGGCCGTGGATTTGGAACATCCCTTACGTCAAAGCTCCAGATACCCATGGGAACATGTGGGTGCCCTCCTGAGCGACCCCGAGCACTGCAAAACTCCATTACCAAGCATTTGCCTATGCTCTGGCTGCTCCACCATGCAAAACTTTTTACAAAGGTCACTCTTGTGCACATGGATGTATATTTAATAGTCTTTATCAACAGGCTAAGAAGGAAAAATTTGTTTCTTTGTAAATTCACTTTTATATGCTTTGAAAAGAAGCCCAATAAAATTCACAGTGTTAAACACATACATGGAGACATTACTGAAGTTGTCCTTGCAGCGACATGGGACCCGCAATGGCCCTGGTCACGTGGTTTCCCTTTGTCCTATGTTCTTCCTCTCCCATCTTGAAAGGCTCCCTCTGCTCACCCGGCCTTGGCAGAGGGGGCATGTGAAGGATTGTGGGTGTTGTCAGCCCCACCCTCTTCCCTTTCCTAAGAGAATCTATGTATCTGGATGCACACCTGCATGGGCCGCCACACTCTGGCAGGTGCTTCCCAGCTCCTCCCTGGAGCAGGCGCTGGGTACATGACAAGTGACTGTGAACTCTCTCCCACTCCAGCCGCAGCTCACAGCTGGCCTGACAGAGCAGCCAGCAGCTCAGACACTCCCACTGAACCTGATGTTAGCAAGCAGGCCTGCGCCCATGAGTTAAAGGCCAGACTTCACTGCCAATGGAGCAGGCTCCTTTCAAGTGGCAATGTCAGAGGCTTGAGAACTGTGCTGTCCTGCAGGTTCTGTTCAGCTCCTGGACTGGAACCCACCAATTCTGTGGCCTTGCTGCATCCGAAGCCTAAAGCAAAAGGAATCAGGCTGGACATGGGGAGAGTAGGCACCATGCAAGGTGCTAGAGGGAGACAGGGAGGGCAGAGGCAGTCCAGGAGATGGAGTGCTGGGTGAGAGAACATGAAGACTCCTCGGGCAGTAGTGGGAGACCAAGGGAGCCACGGTGTCCCAAGTCCTGGAACAGTTTGTTTCTGTACTTTACAAAGTTCCCGGCCGAAACCAGCGACTGCGTTGGAACTGCACGAATTTCTAGGCCACAGGTGGATCTGCTTGAACCACAGCCTGCCCCAACATGGCGGTGCATGTCCCTGCAACCCCAGCTTTGGTGAGTGATTATGAAGGCCTCTGGGCCCACCCCCCACCACCACCATCTTTAGGACACGTGAATAAAGAGAGGGAAACCCTGCCTGCCGTCAGCCCTTCTTCCCAGAGGATAACTCAGCACACACCTGATTGGCCAGCTTGAGTCACCTGTCCAGGCCTGGTACAGCGATTCCAGATCCTAGCGTTGGAAAGCAGGGCCAGCGGGCAGCAGTATCCACACCAGTGGAAAAAGAATCTAGGGGAAGGACCCGAGCACCCAGGAGCCATTTTATGCTTTCCTCTTGAATAATGTGGATGAGCTTGTGGAATTTATTTCAAAGCAAAAGAAAACCAAGCAGAGGGTCCAGCGCGGTGGCCTAGCAGCTGAAGCCCTCATTTTGAACATGCAGGGATCCCATATGGGTGCCGGTTCTAATCCCAACAGCTCCACTTCCTATCCAGCTCCCTACTTATGGCCTGGGAAAGTACTCAAGGATGGCCCAAAGCCTTGGGACCCTGCATGCAAATGGGAAACCTGGAGGAAGTTCCAGACTCCTGGCCTCGGATCTGTGCAGCACCAGCCATTGTGGTCACTTGGGAAGTGAATCATCGAAGGGAAGATCTTCTTCTCTGTCTCTCTTCCTCTCTGTATATCTGACTTGCAATAAAAATAAATCTTTAAAAAATAATAAAAGAAAAGAAAACCAAGCAGAAAACTTTGAAAGATCTCAGGTTTTGGAAGAAATAAAGGAAGCCTTGTAACATGAGTGTCCATTTAGTGGGTCATAACTGGTACTTTTTAATAGAAGAGAAAAAAATATGTGGGGCAGGTATGTTGAGCTTAGCAGCAGAGGAATGCCTGTCCACAGCTCTGGAATCCAGCATCCTGTTGGCAGAGGTGATAGCTCACATTTTGTTTTTGTTTTTTTCATTTTATTTGAAAGAGACGGAAGGAGGCCTTCCATCTAGAAACAGTAAGCAGATGACAGTAACCAAACCGTGAAAATCCTGCAATAGGAAGAAGTCACAAAGGCACAGATGCAGTCCTACGCGGGGCTAAATATCAACACGAGAGACCCTAGCCGCATCACGACATAGAAGTAAGACTAAATGCAGTGAAGGCCAGTTAGAAAAAAAAAATCACAACGTGGGGTCCCACTGGCAGAATGTGGGCGGGAACTTCCTGGGAGGGGCACGGAGACTTCCGCCTGCGGGTCTGTGATTGGCGGCTGGATAGGCAGGGTTTGGCACTCAGAGGTATAGACGTTCATCAGGAGTCCTTGAAGGATTCATTTAAGAATGTACATTTTATTGCCTGTAATCCATACCTCAAAAGAAGAAAATATTGCAATAAAAAATATTGAAATATAGGGTCCGGTACAGTAGGCTAGTGGCGTAAGTCCTCGCCTTGCATGCGCCAGGGTACCATATAGGCACCACCAGTTCATATCCCGGCTGCTCCATTTTCCATCCAGCTCCCTGTGGTGGCCTGGGAAAGCCATGGAGGAGAACCAAAAGCCTTGGGATCTACAGAATTGTGGGGTTCCAAAGTGCTTCCTCACTTCATCATGTGGTTTTACTATGAGAGAAGATGGGGCTCCTTTGAAATCCTTTGTCCCGGGTCCGGCATGATGGCTCAGTGGCTAAATCCTTACCTCGGAAGCATCAAAATTCCATGTGGGCACTGGTTTGTGTCCCCATTGCTCCACTTCTCATCCAGCTCCCTGATTGTGGACTGAGAAAGCAGTAGAGGACGGTCAAAACCTTGGAACCCTGCACCTGCATGAGAGACGCAGAAGAAGCTCCTGGCTCCTGGCTTTGGATCAACTCGGCTCCAGCTGTTGTGGCCACCTGGGGAGTACACCAATGGATGGAAGATCTTTCTCTGTAAATCTGACTTTCCAATAAGAATAAATACATCTTAAAAAAAAAAAAAGATTGCTTTTTATTGCAAAGTCAGTTATACAGAGAGGAAGAGAGACAGGAAGATCTTCCCGCGGATGATTCACTCCCCAAGCGGCCGTTGCGGCCGGAGCTGAGCCGATCCAAGGAGCCTCTTCTGGGTCTCCCACACAGGTGCAGGGTCCCAAGGCTTTGGTCCGTCCTCCACTGCTTTCCCAGGCCACAAGCAGGGAGCTGGATGGGAAGCAGGCGTCCATGTGGGTTCCCAGTGCGTGCAAGGCAAGGACTTTAACCACTAGGCTACCACGCCGAGCCCAGAATAAATAAAACTTTAAAATATATATTGAAATCTAAATAAGGCAAGCAAGAGCGCTGGCGGCAGGGCGTAAGTGTACTAACACCTGCAACAGTTTTGGTTCCTAATTAGATGTGCTGAAGGGAAAAAGGACCCACACAGGCAAGCAGGTGCAAGCAAGCAGGCACATGCTAATTGTGCAGTGGGGATGGTGGGTAGGTGAGGGGTCACCATTAAGTTGACACAACTTTATTTGAAAGTTGTTGTGATAAAACGGACCCAAGGAGAACAGCAGTACTCACCTGGGGTAAGTAGACCCGTCCCTGTGTCTGCTACCCCACAACAGGGAGGAAGACGAGAGACAGCGGGGCTCCTTCGCGCCGTCAGTGCGGGACTTGATTCAACACCATTCCGTTTTTGCGAACCTTTGCGTCTCTGCGGGTGGTGATCGTAGGTGATACGGAGGGTGGGGCGCCGGGCCTGGAACCTCTACGCCCAGGGAAATCCTACCCTGTTCCGGGACGCCCGGGGCTTCCATCTGTTCTCGGGTGGGGGACAAGTGTCCCAAGGGGGCGGAGCGCCCTCTCCTGGACCCCGACCGGCCCTCGCAGGCCTCCTGGGATCGGCGCACCCCGGGGGCGAGCACTGCAGCCCCAAGGTTGGCTGGCCGGGGGCCCTAGCCGGCCGAGGCCGGAGCGGGAGGTGGCTCTCAGCGCGCTGGAGGCGGGCGGCGGGGTGGAGTCGCCGGCGCCGGCCGCAGCGCAGCTCCACCTGTTGCAGCATCGGTGCGCGCCTGCCTGCCAAGGCAGAGCTCGGCGTGGATCTCTGCTGCCCGCGCCGGTCGCGAGGGCAGTGCAGCAGCGGCGAGGGCCCCGGGGGACAGTCCCAGCGGAGCGGCCGGGAGAAGGTGTTCCCGGGGAGGTGAGGGCTGCGACGATGGAGCCCCTGCAAGGCGGGGTCTCGGGGAGAGGATCCCCGGTTTGCTGGTGAGCTCGCCGCGGGAGTGTCGGGGTGAGATTGGAGGGCACACTGCGCTGAACACCCTTGCGGGAGAGATGGAAGTCTCCGGAGAGGGGTGGGGGGCACGGTGGGCTGAACTCCCCTCCGCCCCGAGCTCAGGCCTTGGATGCCTCTTCCTGCACTGGGCCGGCTACCCAGGGCACGCTCCGTCGGGGCCAGGCCGAGCCTCAGGGACAGACGACGCCCCCACGGGGGACTCGGAGGCCAAGGTCGCCTGCCTGGGGGAGAGGCCTCCAACTTCCTTCACGCCGTTGTTTCAACCTCCCTTTCTGATCTTTCTCCAGCTCCTCCGCCAGCCGGATGCTGAGCAACGTAGGGGCCAGGAAGGAGGTCCGAATGCGCGGCCACCGCTCCACACAGTTCTGCAGTCCCGTCGCCTGGACCAGTTCCAGCCGCTAAGTTCTTGTAGCCAGGTTGGCGACTCCGGAGGCCAGCGGGGGGACACCACAACTAGGACCCAGAGGGGTCTTCCCTGTCCGGGCCACCAGGCAGATCACGCGTCCTAGCCGTCAGCGACTGAGAAGCAATGGTCAGCGGGGGGCACACATCGGCGCGGCCTTTACCGGCCGACCCCCAGAGCAACCTGGCCTGGAACTGGGGGCAGATCCCAGTCGGCGGGAGCCGGCCCTGAAGCCGCGCCACGCCCCCTCCCCAACGGACCAGGGTGGAAGCCGGAGTCGCATCCGCTGGCCAAGCAGAAGCGACTCTGAGCCGGTCCCGCCGCTTTAGCGCGTCAAGGAGAACTCCAGGGCGGGAGGGGGCAGCGGCAACGATAAAGAGGATTCGAAACCAGGACTCTGGACGGACGTGGGAGAGCTGGCTCGGCAGCAGCGGCTGTAGCTGTGCTCGGGGGAGCCGCACGGCCAAGGGCAGCGCGTGGTAGTCATGGGTGAACCTGCCGCCCGGTGCCCCGGAGCGGGCTGAGCGCCTGACTCGGCGCTGCCTCACTCGGTGTGCGTGAGTCGCCGGCACCCACGGCCGTCCGGAGCGACACTGTCCCCGGGGGCCGGGCCATGGCCGGCCGCGCTTGCAGCTGCGGCCTGGGCCACTTGAATGAGGACAACGCGCGCTTCCTGCTGCTCGCCGCGCTCATCGCGCTCTACCTGCTGGGCGGCGCAGCCGTCTTCTCGGCGCTGGAGCGGGCGCACGAGCGCCAGGCCAAGCAGCGCTGGGAGGAGCGCCTGGCCAACTTCAGCCGCGGCCACAACCTGAGCCGCGACGAGTTGCGCGGCTTCCTCCGCCACTACGAGGAGGCCACCCGGGCCGGCATCCGCGTGGACCACGTCCGCCCGCGCTGGGACTTCACGGGCGCCTTCTACTTCGTGGGTACCGTGGTGTCCACCATAGGTGAGTGGTTTTCCAGCGCGGCTCGGGATCAACAGGTGCTGAGGCTGCCTTTCCGCTCCTCCGCGCTTCGGCATGCGCCTTAGCGGAGAGCTGCTAGCCAACGCAGGCTCGGCCGGCGAGCTGGCCTGCAATGCACCTCGCAGCGCCCGGTTTCCTATCTGACTCTGGCCCCAGCTTCCTGCCCAGGTAGATCCCGGGAGGCAGCAGATAATGGCTCACGTAATCGAGTTTCTGCACGCCCGTGCGAGACCTGGATTGAGTTTCTGGCTCCACCGAAAGCACTTGGGGAGTAACTGCTTTCTCTTCTCCCCCCCCTTCTCTGCCCCGCCCCCCAAATGAAGATTTTTTTTTTTTTTTAAGTACAAAGACATGCAGCCTCGGGCCTTTCTCCAGGCTGCCAGAGTGGAATTAGCACGCGGGACTCTTCAGAGAACACTTACAAACAGGGATGGAACTAGATGGACATTTATCGACTTCGTGCTGTGCACCAGCTGCTAGTCAATGAAAAGCCAGATTTTTTTTTAATGTTTGTTTCTTTGAGAGGGGGGACACAGAGTGAGAGAGAGCTCTCCCACCTGCTGATTCACTCCCCCAGATGCTGGCAACAGTCAACGCTGGGCAGAGCCAAAGCCAGGAACCTCCCACGTGGGCTGCCTGGAACTGTGACCGCTGCCTCCCCAGATGCCTTAGCAGGGAGCTAGCTGGATCAAAAGCAGGCCTGGGTCCTGCATCCCAAGTAGCCGCTTAACCCCTTTGCACCATAAGACCCAGCCCCAAAGCCCGACTTTCAAAGGACTCCATCCTTGACCTCAGGTTTGTAGAGGGCTAATCAGAGTACCAGTTTGGCAGTGGCAGTACTGCAAGGTGGGAAGTATTTCCGGTAGGAAGAGCTGGGAACAACACGGCCAGTGAGGGTTCAGCATGCTTTGGATTTAAGGATGAAAAGTGTGTTGCCTCTGGAACAGGCAAGAATTGGCATTCAGCAGCTGTGAGCTGGCTGATCCAGTCCCAGCGTACAAGGAGGGCTAGACTGGTGGACGGCCTGAGGGAGTGGAGGGGGCCTTAACTGCAAGAGGGAGGCACTTGAACTGGCCTGGAGGCACTTGGGAGAGGAGTTTTTGAGCAGAGGTGTGGTATGGCTTTGTTCTGTTCCGTCTTTACTCTCCAGGAAAAGGTGTTGGGGGAGTGGGAAGGGTGTCTTTGAACTACACCCCTTCAAGACCCACCAGTCTTGAGGCATGATGCAAGGATAATGGGTTTGGAGAGGATACTTAGACCTTCTGAGAAGAGAGGCGAGTTGTGGCAGGAGAGGGCTTTGAAAGGCAAGGCAGAGAAACTATTGCCCAGTTGCCTCACAGCGAGTGGCCAGGTCCCCAGGAGCAACGATGGGACTCATGGTGGCAGCTGCACTGGATGTGAGTGCCCCAAGCCTGCCAGTGTGGCGGGTGCCCAGGGCGCCCACACATGGTGGTGGTAACAGGTGTTCTGCCCAGAGAAGGAGCACCATGGAGAGAACACATCAGGCTCAGACCGGATCAATCAGTTCAGACTTCCAGGGTCAGTCCAGAAGACCAGGCTGCAGCTGGCGAGTAGGAGGTGGGACAGCACGGGCCAGTACCACCAGGACACACAGGCAGGACCCCAAGTGCTTAGTGCTAAATGCCCTGGCTCACCAGCCCCATGCCAGCCCGAGGGAATGGACTGCCCATCAGTGGGCGGGCCACGATAGTGCCACACCAGCTGGCGATCCAGGGAGAAATCAGTGTGCTCTTTTGATGGCCTGAACCCACAGCCGTGGGGGACTCAGAGAAGGGTCTGAGAGGCAGCTTCTTGCTGCCTGAAATTGAAACTTCGCTTTAGTCAACCCAACTCCATGAGGCAGGTGGAATTAAACCCACTAGTGGAAGAGACAGCTATAGCTTCATGTACTTTATAAAATGAAGAAGAAAAACTTATACCACCTAAATTGGTGTCACCCAAATTAACTGTGACTAGCTTCCTGGTGCGTTTGTTACTGCCCTCTTTCCCTCTGTGCATATGCATGTAAGTGCTCTAAAAGTTAGAATGAAATTCTATCAGTTCTTCGTACCTCGTGCTTTTACAGTAGTACGTGATAGCATTTTCTCCAAAATAAATTCCCCCAGGCTTCGTCCTCTCCTGCGAAGGCTCTAAGGTAGCAGGCAAGAAAGCACACAGTAAGTCACTGAACCTAAGAAAGAGAACTGAACCAGGGAAGCAAGAACAAAAATATGGCATGCAAGTGCAACTGGAGCTTGGGTTCGCAAAGAAGCTGACAAAGAGCCAAGAAGCTGAGCACAGAAAGTGTCCTGGGAGGCACAAGGAGTACAGGCTGGTGAAGATGGGATGTCCTCACGGGACAGGGACAGGAGTGACGCCACAGCCTGTGGCTGGTCTCAGAGCAACAGCTCAACACAAAACTCCTAACTCAGTGCAGGTATTTACACACCCCCACCTGTCATGCTTGGCGAAAAGCTGTGTGGGTAGGAGCATAGTGCCGATTCCTGGGTATGCCGGGTAGTTTTTGTAGTCAGCCTACTGACATAGATGCAGGCGCGGGCAGTTGTTCTTAGACTGCTCATAAGGAAGAGACCTTATGGATGTAGGCAGAATACCAACCAGGGCTTCAGATGTGAGGGCAAGCTTCGTGCCAGGTGGAGTCATGCCCCATGCTAGAGCACCTGCTCTCCCAGAGCAGGAAGGCCAGGCTGCTTCCCAGGGCCTGAATCTCTGAAGCATTTCCCCATAATTGTAGCAGGGGCCATAGCATGAGAGAACGTTTTCTGGAACGTGAACGGGAAATTCCGTGCAACAGATGTCACGTTGAAATCTTTGATTTCAAAGCCAAAGCAGAGTGGAAAGCCATTTCTCAGAAGGTTAAACATAGAATAGCAATACGACCCAGCATTCCACTCCTACATGTGTAGTCCCAAAACCTGAACGTAAGAACTCCAGCGTATTTCTATGCTAATGTTTACAACAATGATATTTATATAGTCAAAAGCGGCAACAAGCAAAGTGCCCATCCACATGTGCATGGATAAACAAACTGTGTTGTATCCACACAGTGGGCCAATACTCAGTCATGAAAAGGAGTGAGACGTGGGTCTGTGCTACAGCAAGCATGAGCCTTAACAATACTTATATTTAGCCCAACACACCAGACACAGCCAACACTGTGTGACTACACGGACAGGGGTACCTGGAACAGGCAGCTTTTAAAAGATTTGTTTTTATTGGAGAGGCAGACATACAAAGAGAAGGAAATACAGAGAAAGATCTTTGTCCACTGGCTCACTCCCCCAATGGTCGCAATGGCCAGAGCTGAACCGTCCCAAAGCCAAGACAAGGATTTAGCCACTAGGCTATTGCACCGAGTCCAAGAGACAACGTAAAAAAATTAAAATTTATTTGTTTGAAAGACTTTCTGTGTGTGTGAGAGAGAGAGAGACAGACAGAGAGAGAGAGAAAGAGAGTCTTCCATCCACAGATTCTGATTCACTCCTCAAGTAGCCAGTGTATGGGGCTGGACCAGGATGAAGCCAGAAGCCAGGAACTTCTTTCAGGAACCCGGGATAGTGAGGGACCCAAGGACTTGGGCTATGTTCCATTGCCTTTGCAGGAGCTGAACCAGAAATGGAGTGGCCAGGTCCTGAACCACACCCCCCTATGGGGTGTGGATATCAGAAGTGGCGGCTTCAATGCTAGGTTTTTGTTTTGTTTTGTTTTGTTTACCATTGGCTTCTTCCTCCCCAGGAGTCCAGCATGTGCCCCAGCAGCCTCCCAGGCTTGCCTTGGGGCTCCAGGGTGCTGTTTTCTGGGGCTCCTCTGCATACCCCTGTTCTTCCACATCACCCAGGAGGGTGGAGAGACGACCTTAAGACTGAGCACCAATAAGAAGGTCCCCTGTGAGAAACACTAGTCGCTTGCACTCACTTGACTCCGCTGCTTCACGGGGTAGAGGGATCAGATCCTCGCGTGAATCCAGCAGAGGCTGCAGCTTGGTGCTGGTGTCCCCACGCCATGCACGGCTAACCTTCCCCAGCACTGAGCCCAGGGGCATTTAAAATATTAGGGAGGGACCTGGCACAATCCTTCACCTCCCAGCGCCTGGATCCCATATGGGCACAGGCTCGTGTCCCAGCTGCTCCACTTCCCAACCAGTTCCTTGCTTATGGCCTGGGAAAGCAGTCGAGGACGGCCCAAAGCCTTGGGACCTGCACCCGCGTGGCGATCCAAAAGAGGCTACTGGTTCCTGGCTTTGGATCAGCTTAGCTCTGGCCATTACAGCAGCCTGGAGAGTGAATCATCTGAGAGAAGAGCTTCTTCTCTGTCTCTCCTCTCTGTATATCTAACTTTCCAATAAAAAAAATTTTTTTTAAAGGCTAGAAATGTACAGTGAAATGTAAAAACTAGGAGCCACCTTAATTGCACCATCCAACAAGAATAGCTGTTAATTTGCTCTGCCTGGTGCTGTATTGAAGCTTAAATATTCTTTTATTAAATCTAAAATGTATCATTATCACACTGTATTATATAGAATACATTTTAGGTACCATTATAAAAAAATAAGAAGAGCTGCCTGTTCCAGTCGGCTGTGCTAACGGTTGTCAAGTGCATCCCAGTTTCAGATTATTAGCGTGTTGAGGTGAGAGGAGGTGGGGATTTGGCCTAGCAGTTATGGTGTGGGCTTGATAGCCGGTGCTGGCTCCTGGCTCCAGCATTCTGCTCTCACAGACGCTGGGAAGCAGTGGTATGGTTCCCGTAATTGGTTCCTGCTACCCAAGTAGGAGGCCCAGATGGGGGCCCAGTTCCTACTCGATCCTTCCCTGGCCACTGTGGGCATCTGGAGATGAGCGAGCACGTGAGACCTCTCTCTCTATCTATCTAATCTCTCTCTCTTCCCCACTTCCTTCCCTGCTTCTCTTTCCCTTCCCAACCCCCTCTCTGGCTTTCATCTCTGAAACACACACACACCCCAC